TGTTGCTCATTTTTGGTAATTACGATGACACTTTGGTCTTAAATATGCCACAACGGTCCGCTCTCCTCTCCCCTGCACAGCGGACAACGCACACACAAAGGATCTCCAGACAATAAGAACAGGTATGGGCGGTTGGCAGGAGGGGAGCTTGGGGCACCTTTTGGTGTATTTGCGCTCATTTATCATGCGGCAAAGTTGTTAAGCAGCATTTTAATTTTTTAACAGTTTTGCTGGGGCGCAGTAACAAAATGCTCTGATACCCTAACAGAGAGTATAACGAATTTGAAGTGAGTAGAGTAGGTACAAATGTGTTAAATGTCTGGCTGTAACTATAACATACAGGAGTTGCACAAACGATGTGTGTGCTTGCAAGGGTATCTTAGTGTTCGGGCCATCAAGTTACCTAGCATTCGTTTTGGTGTGTTTTTGTTTGCGGCAAAACGAAATGCATGAGACAGCTTAAGTGAGCTCCACTGAGGTGGTGCTGTTGCTGCTGCGTTGCGGGGGAATGCGGATGTGGGTGAGGATGTTGACAAAAACAAAAGGGCTGCCAGTAGTGCCAGTGCGGTGCGGTGGGGCAGGGAGCGAGTGTGAATGGGTAAGTTTTCCCAGTTTTTGTCTGGGTTCGTTGCTCGGCATTTAAGTGCAGAGACGAGCGTTGTCCCATCATCGCATCCCAGCAGCCAGCTCTCCGGTTTTGTATTGTTGTGATGAATGACGCTGCATTCGGTCGAGTTTTTGTCCCCATGCTCCGACAACTTACAAGACACGGACATTAGCAACAACTAAGGGTAAGGATACAGTACAGGACTCACAGAGTCCTCGCCACCCAATGTGAGGTGACCTTAATGGTTTTATGCACGACGAAAGGATTAGTTTGTTGTGTCTGCCACAGACACCGGTCCCCTTTTTGGTTCTTTGCGCCTCCGACACTGAATGCTCATTTATTTCGTGGTTTGTATTTGCTTTTTGTGGAGGTGGAAAATCAAATCAGGCCACCAGAGATCAGAGCCCAAACAAATGCCAGATCATTCAAATGAGTCATTGTCAGTTTAAAGTCGCATCTTTGGCACACATCTGTCGGGGAGTGATGTGTGGCACTTTGCACAAGACATTTAACACCTGCAGCAGCGACAGTCCCGCCCCTTCAACTGGAGCTATCTCTGCTCGAGACCAATCAGATTTTTCAGCAGTAGCAGCAGGAGCTGGGGCAACTAAAACGCACATCAGAATAATTTATGATGCACATCAGGCAGGGAGCAGGAGACCAGGCGACCAGTAGCCGTGTTGCTGCAACACCTTTCTACACGCAACGTGTGGCAGTGTCCAGGTTGAGCTACAACTTCGATGTCCATTTTGTGGCCATAATGCTTGGCCATAAGTTTTGCCCTGCAAAAACATAAACAAGCTAAATCAAGTCAAATGCGCCAATAAATCTTTGAGAGCGTCAGACGACGACGTTGTCGACGCAGCCGCTGTCGCTGTCGGCGTCACCGTTGACGTTGGCATGCAAATGCCAGGCGTGATTCTGGGGGTCTCTGTGTGCGTCGTATACTTGATATTAAGAGCCATAACAATTTAAGTTGATTTACGCTGCAGCTGAGGCTGAGAGGCACAGAGAAGAGCGCGCTAAGAAAAATGATAATTGAGTTTGGGTCCCGACCGCCTGACCTTCTAATGGCTGAACATCGCAGCAAAGACTTCGTCGGGTAATTGAAATGTGCACGCATAATTAATTTCCACAGCAAGAAATCTAATTGTCCCACAGTTCAGCGACCAGTGTGGAATCAATTTGAATTCTGGTGAGCAGAGGGGCGTGTGGCGGCGTTGATGAAATTATCATTTCATTGCCGGGGAGTGGGAAAAGTGGAGACTGGGCTTTTCGCGTATTATTGTTGGCACAGCGGCTACCCAAGCAGCTCGTTACCAGCAGCAATAACAATCAGGGCAGAGCGGAGCGGAGCTTAAGTCATACTGGCAGTGACGATTCCTTCCCGAGTTGTGTAATCCGTCGCATCAGCTGCCAGGAAATGATCTGAGCTGAAATGTGTGTGTGCCCCGCCGGATGCGGAATGCAGATGGATATATTTTGTCAGCATTTGCATTTAGCCGTCTTATGTCTTTAGGGTTCTGTGTCACCCCACTCCATGAGATATCCATTTAACTGTAAATGCACTCGAACCTGTCACTCCTCCAATCATCTCTGCACCTCAGCCGTATTCGGGTTAAGTCAATGTTGAAGTGATATATGCGAATATTTTTGAGTAAATTTTGTTTGTTTTCCTTGTCCTTCTCGGAGCGTGTGCTCCCCACATTGTTTGCTGCTGAATGAATCGCTTGTTCTGGCGCAGTGCGGCCAGAAAAAAAGTATCTACAAGATGCACGCCCGGCAACGGGCAACCGAAAAAAAAAACCAGTTGGTTGCCACGGATACGCTCGAGTGTTGGAATTCTCGCACGTTTGACGTGCGCGCTCGTCGTCGGCGGCGATTCACATAAATTCATCATTTTATTCAAAATTTCACATTCGCTGACAATTTCATGGCCTACGAAATGTGGGCTCGATTCTTTTGTTCTTTTTACTCTCTTTCGCTCTCTCTCACCCGGCCGCTATCACCCGCTGTTTTGATACCCTTACATGGAGTGCCATGATTTTGATTAAACAAACTGCCAGCCATATATGGGGTGTATTTGGAGCCAAGTCTAAGGCTCTTTGCAATAGTAAATATATCGGATGAATGAATCAGCAAGGGTATCTTTATCTTCGCACCTCAAGGACTGCTTTCCGTTGTCGTTCAGCTTGTTAATGGCACAATGTCTCTGGCCATTGTTTTATGTGAGCATAAAAATATTTGCACAGTTGCTTTTGCTCTTTAACTGACGTATATGTAATATCAGACATCTGCCCGTGCCTGTACCTCGTTGGTGGGTGAGAGTTGTTGCCAGGAGGAACGAACCTTGGCAGCGCCTGGCTGGCACTTCATTTTGATGCCACACCGCGTGATAAGTGGGTCAGTAAAACGCGCAATTCAGAAAAGAAACGGAGAGAGAGAGAAGAAAAAAAACCGAAACTGAAACTGAAATAATAAAAAAGTGTCACACCTGCTTGGGCCCGGGGTGGGTGCTCACCTGGGAACTTTACATAAATGTTATAAATATAATAAAAATCTTATTTACATGCTTTTGAAAAGAGAAAGTCCAGAACGGCCCGTGCATACGGATCGTGAATTCATTTACTTTCGCATTTGGTTTTATTTCCTTGCTCACCCACGCCCCTGCCTCCCCCCTACTGGCACCCCTTTTCGGGGCAAACACTTGATTCGAGCAATTTATATGTGAGAATTTCGAGCAGGCGTTACCACGATACACGGCGCTCGTACACGGGCAATAACACAACTTTTATGGCCAATTTTTCGTTTGCCTCGTTTTCGGGTACCTTGATTTGGCAAACGTGTGTTAAATTTGGCAGGCTGACATTCGGCATAGACCGGGAAAGTTCTTTGTCCAAGAGGGAGCATCGAGTTTGTTAAATATTTTCAGTTGAGCGATAGAGATCAGCAAACATTTGATGCTTCCCCTGTTTTCTTTTCTCACGCATTGTAGCTGAGATGGAACTGCGAAAGAAGCGATAAATAAACGGTTATATAAATAACATAAAACTAGAAACCGTTGCCAAATGGGGATAGTCGCTGATTGTAATACTCTGGCTGCTTTTTATAAGACTAAAATAAATCAACCGAAATGCCGTCTTGCTCAGTTTTGGAAGGTTATTGCTCCATCTGTCCAAAAATTGTTCCAGAAATTAATTTAGCCCCAACAGCTGATGATGAATTAAGCGGGAGTGTTTGATCTTCATCTCAGTTTGGAGGATTCAGTATATTTTTTAGATTTAACAAAAATGTAAGGAAAGGATGGCTCTGTTCGTAAGGGTGTAGAAATCGTTAAACGCATGCGAAATTTTACATTTGGTGTTAGATTAAACACTATAAAAGTTTAGCTGCGGTCAGTGAACCTTAAGTGGGTGATATTGTTTGTTCTAGCCGTAAAAACAAACTTTAAAGAAACGGAACTTTTTTTTATTAGCATCTGGCGAGTTTTGGTTTACTTTTGTAAGATTAGTGGCAGATGAAAACTATCGAATAATCATTCTGTGATTCCTATAATTACAGCACCGTTTGCTGCTCAAGTTTATTCCGTTTCATTTGAAAATTTCAAGCAACTACCATTTCAATCAAGAATTCGAATAATTATAATTACTCTTCTATCTTGTTCTCAATCTGTGAGCCGACACACCCAGCGTCGTTGACATTGCGTTCGGTTTCAGTTGGCATTTTCGATTTCAAGGTTGATCTCGACCTACATCCTGCTACAAATAACTCGCTGTCGTCGGCTTGGCTGCCGCACGTTGCACTCTGGTTCCCAGCTCCTGTGCTGGTGGTGGTGCCTCAGGAAAAAACTGTTGCGCATTTAATGAAGGCGCCCCGCCGCTTCACGCCGCCACTCCACCCCTGTCACTCGTAATTTATGCTTATCTACAAACCGCACATAAGCTGCACATAAGCTGACAACAATACGAACTCGGGAGTGCGTGGCTAGTTGTCCAGGCGATTGACAACATGACATTTTAAATGCGAAATGCCAGTAGCCGGGCAGGAGCTGGCGGACAGGAGCAGCTCCCCCAGCACTCCATGGCTCTCCCGCCAGGAGCAGTTAAATATGACAGCGGGAGCAACAAAAAACTAGCGCCGATTAAAATACAACCTTTACGTGAGCTCCATTCCAATTGGCATATCAAGCCGAGCGATGTACCATGTGCCACTATGTGCGGGGCCAGAGCTCAGTGTGGCTCCTCCCAGCTTGGAGCGGATCGGTGCGAGGCAGCAACGACAACCTTAGAAGCATGTTTGAGTCACTGGCACGCGTTCCCTGTACCGGCTCCATTTGAAGTGTCTGGAAGATTGACAAACGCCAGTTGGCCACTGGGCCGTGGACAGTCTTTAGCAATCGTTTCAACCTGCCGCATTTCGTGTTAGAGCCAACTTGATGCAGGTGTCAATAAAACGAAGTTGTCAATGCTGCAGTCAGTCTGTGACTGTTCCTTCAGAGCCCCCAATTAGCTTACAGCTGAAATCACTTAAGTTCTCATTGCCTTTCGTGCATAAATTGTTGCCAAAATATGAGTGGCTTTTGGCTCCGTTGTTGTTCCTCTTGTTTTGGTTCTCACTGCTGATATTGCCTGTTCAGCATGCAAATCTCGTTGCCAAAGAATTGGGGCAAAAACTTAGTTACAAATGTTTCTTTTTAGTCATTTTGAGTACCCTTAAGGAGGGAGGGCCCATGGGTTCTGAAAGGGAGCTTGTTGTAAGAGGGAATATTAAAGTGGGTAAAAATAAGTTGTCTATCATATTAAATGTCTAAAATATTTCTGTTTATATTCAAGACAGTTCCAGCTGCGTATTCCGTTCCTATGTTAAAAAAGGGCATTCAGAATTCTTGTATTTTCCATTGCAACTTTTCATGCTTTTGGCACTTATTCAAATTAGCCTTTAAAACAAGCAAAAGCAGAGCATTAAACACACAGTCACACAGTTGTATACAATTGTATTTTATATATTTAACTGTTAAGGTTTCTCTGCCACAACTCTGTGCGATGGACGAGGCAGAGGCAGACGCAGTGGCAGTGGCGGGCTAATTAAAATGCAACGAATGTTGTCACAAAGGGGAGCGAAACGCCAAAAGATGCTTAAGTTATTACTGATATTATAAAGAACATTGGTAAGGCGAATTGGTCAGCGAATAAGTTAGTTGTTGTTCCCAATCCACCATTAATGTTGAGGCGGCTGTGTGCTTAAAATTTTAAATGCTGAAATTTGTGTGCATTTAACGTCAGTTTGGTTTCATCAAATATAATAACAAATTGTCATTAATTGTTGTTTTTGGGTGGTGGAGCATCTGTTGTCCAGTCCGCTTGGATTTCCAGCTTCCTCTTCCCGGTTGCCCATTCTGTTGCCGTTTGCCGGACCAGTTCCCGACCTATGGCACTAATTACGTGCTGCTGCTGCTGTTTGGTTGCCAGCTTAGACCAACTGACGGCAACGACAAAGTCGCCTGTCCACCGTCGAGCGTCTACTGTCGGCTTCGATGCTCGCTAATCCATTACCAGCGTCATTAATCTAATGAGCTGTTGCCTGTTGCCCCACCGCTTCTACAGCTGCTAGTCGAGTCTCTGGCACTGGACACTGTCACTGCCACTGCCCGATGCTGCCAGTGGTGGCATGTGTCGAGTTTCTGCCCACTGCCTGTGCATTTGACCATCGATTTGTGCTCCAGTTTACTTACACATGTCAACATCATGGCCATCGTCCATCACCTGATCCCCCAATGTGTTAATACATAGCTCCAGCTACTGACCCTCCAGCTCTCATTGCTTTGTCTTGTGCTGCTACTGCTACTGCTGTGGTCAGCTCGTTTCTCTCTTGTTTGCTTGTGGCAATTAACTGGGACTAAACTGTTATCAGCTTGTCGTTGAACTGTGCGGACTGCGAATACGCAACGTTGTCTCAGAGACATCGATGCATGGGGTGTTGTTTCCACATTCTCCCCAAAGTTCTCCTCTTACTTGAAGTGAATAAAGTTTCGGGTAGAGAAAATAAATTGCATTTCTTGCTTCGACAAACATGCTAATGTTGATTGAGCGAATTCCCAGAATACATGCACACACACACACACACACACACACACACAAACACTTGAGCTGCTAAGTCCCCACACTTACCACGCTTCCTGCTTACGAAAGTTGCTCCTGCCTCGATAAAATGTTGTGTCGCCAAAAGCATTTCTTTAATTTAGTTGTGATTCAAAAATTGTCTTACTTGCAGATGTGTGTGTGTGTGTGTGTGTCTTTGTGTGTGTAGTTTGTGTACATTTATTTATATTTTCTTGCTTAGCAACTCTTTTTGCTAGTTTTGGTCTGGACTCGGTCTTTCTTGGATGCTTTTCTTTGGGGCTAGAAAGTTTTGCTCAGTAGAAACTTCTGGACAGGCTGCAAAACAAAGGCTCAAAATTACAGTTGCAATTTCTGCTACATACATTTATATACTGCAGAAATTCTACAGTTTAAACAACAAACAGCCACCAAATAATGAATCTCCATGAAGCTCTTGTCTTTGCGAGGAGTAATCCTTTTTGTAATAATTTTATTTAAATTTGAAACGACTATTTTCGGTGTCTTTTGATATGTCTTTAATGTAGTTTTAGGTTTAAGTCTTGTTTTGTGTTCTTTTTGCATCCTTATCCATATGTTTGCTTAGTTTTTTTGCATGTTTCGCTTTGAAGAATATTTTTCAAAGACACGGAACGCTGTTTTTCTGTTTTGCAAGCCCTGAATGCCGGTCGCCATGACAGTAATCGAAGAGTGCAACTCTTCGTACCGTTTAGGGTTGTAAAAGCGCCCGCTCCATCGGAAGTTGTTTACACCGTCGTGGAATGCAGCTGCTGTCAATGGTCAATGGTAGCTTGTGCCTTTGTTTTTTGCGGCATGTCAAATGGTGGCGTGAACGCTTAAATTGATTAATTTCCGGCTTTAAAGATGGGGGTAAACCCATGCAAAGTTAACTGCCAAAATAAGGGAAGTTCAGCAGATATTCAGTGTGTATTTATTTCGTTGGGGCTGTGCAAATAAACATGTAAGCGTAACTGGATGTGTTGCTATTTTGTGCCCACGTTGTTGCTGGCGGCAAGCATTTCCGCAGTGGTCCGACACAAAATTGGAGCATTTCCGGTGTTCCTACAAAAATACGAAAACAAAAACAAAAACAATGCTGTCTAAAATAGAATAAAAATAAAAATAAAATAAAAACCAAAAATGTTCTCAGTTATTTCTTGGCAACTTTGTTGCAGCTGCATTTCGCGTAAACTTTCAGCAGCAGACTGGGGACTGAGGTCTGTGGACTGGAGTCTCGATTTCTTTGATGAAGAAACAACAGCCACTACAACAACAGAAACAACAACGAACCGCAACCACCGCTTCAGAGTTCTGTTGAATCCGTGTTCACTGTTCCAAGACCCTCGCCCGCTCTGCTCCGCTCCGCTCCCCTCCCTCCCGCTCTTCCAGCGGCACAGCACTCTGAAAGAAACAAAAAACAATTACAGCAACTAATAAAGAAACATTTAAAAAGCAAAAGTTTATGCTGCAAAAACACGGCTGGGCTGCCTGAGCGAAGATCGGACGGTGTCAGGAGAAGCTAGATGGTTGCGTTTGGTTGTGCGGGTTGAGTGGCTCATGGTGGGTCATGGCTGAAGTGAGCGCTCAGCTGAGCTGAGGCTGAGCTACGTTGTCCTCTCTTGTCCTGCGCTGTCCTGTCCGGCAGCAGTTTTCCTTAGCCGTACATGAATAAGCAATTAAAAAGTTGTTATTAAAATGATTATGTAAAATTGTAATGAAAGTGTTGTGTTGTGTTGTGTTGCTTTGCGTTACGCTGTGTTGTGTGTGTGACCCGAGCACTTTCCTTCGCTTCCAGTGCAATGCAGAGAGTTTGCTTGTAGCTGCTGCTTCTTCTTTTCAATCATTTTCCAAGTTTCGTATACGTAATCAAATGGAATTACGCCCTTGGGGTATCTGAGAGGTCCCCGGCTGATTGTTGATAATTGTTTAAAGGGAAACTTTTTTGCCAGACTTCACTGTACGGGGCAGTCCCACAAATTGATTGCTCCCAACCGAATCGGAGCATGTCAATGCCAGCCCGGGACAGCTCAGCAATGCTATTTGCTGTTTGCTGTCCAGTGTGGTTGCAGCTCAACCTTGTGCCACTTTCGTCAGCCAACAAGCCAGCCGCAAACTGACTTTCCTATCCCGAAGCAGATGACAAGAGACGGGGAACTGGGTCTAAGGATGCGAGTGCGTTGCCTAGCTGTGCTGCCCAGTTTTGCGGCAGGTTTCTGGCATTTTGTTTATTTTAATTAGTGGAAAAAATATGTCCCCAGCACACGCAATGGAGTGCTCCACTTGGCCAGTTCGCCTGAATGCGTTCCACACAGCCGCAGGTCGACTCAACAATGCAGCTTTGTCATGCAGCAGCAGCAGCAGAAGCAGCAGGAAGAGTACCAGAAGAAGTGGGGCCGTGGGAGAGCCGGTTCGGGGTCAGGCCAAGCATGAAAGATGGCAGATGCGTTAACGTTTGTGGTCCATCTGTCGCAGTGTCTGCTCCGTCTGCATATGACCCCCAGTTCCACGGACAGCAACCAAACTCAAACCCAACCCCATCTCATCTTCAGCGCACATTGTCGTAATGAGCACACCGCAATTTGTGTCATGTGCTGCGGGCCGTTTGCCATTCATTTGGTAAAAATAACAATTAAATGTTTTCGTAATGGCCTCTGTCCCGGACTGGGTCGGGCGCTGTCCTGTCCTGTCCTGTCCTGCTCCTCGACGCTACGCTCTGGCTAACAATTCACTTTTGTTTTTGGCCTTGTTGCCGCTGCTATGAAAATAATTGCTGTACAAATATTCTTCTAAATTACAACGTTGTGTATTTATTTTAGTTGGCCTGACGAACAGTCGCCTCCGGCATTCCCCACTGAAGAGCATCCCGCTCCAGATGCTGAATAGCTTCTCGCCGCCGCCAAGGCTACTCTCGCTTCGAGATGTCATGCACATTTCCTTAAAGACTTGAAGCGGGCAATAAAGCAAGTCCAAGTCGCACCCTCGCACCTGTTTGCTGTGCCATCCTCATCTCGGGTAACCACTTATTATGATGATGCATTTGCAGCAGGCAGCAGGCAGCCAGCCCCACATGCGAGGTTTGTTTGTGGGGCCTGGGCCGGGGATGGGGATGGAGATGGGATCCAAACGAGCGCAATTTTGTTTATTTCCGGCACAAAATAAACTTTCAAGGATAAGCAAACTTTTTGGCTGCCGCTGCTGCCGCCACTGCATCCTTAAGCAAATTTCATGAAATAATATTTTAGTGGCGCCAGGGGCAATATGTGGAGTCGTGGCACACACATCCGTAACCT